GGAGCTAAGGGAGGTAGAGGAACTTCCTTCCTGGGGTCTGTCTCCTCATAGACTACCCTAGGTAGGAAGAGGCACCACTTCTACACTGCCAGGAGCCTGAGGCCTCTGAGCCAGAGCAGGCAATGACATGTCACAGGCTTGGCACACACTCTATATTCATTCCCATTCCCCCAGCCAACTCACATCCAAGTTTCCTACTCTGGTGTCCTCTGTTCTGCTGAAGGACTCAAGAGGTCCCATTGCTCTGGCCAGGTCAGTGGCCCATCTTCAGCCACCTGGGATGTACACGGAGGGTCCAACTTTCTTCTACCAGCATGTTTGAAGAAATGAAAACAGATGCCAGCATGACCACCACCACCCCAGGCTCCATGGGGGCTGACACATGACACGTCCATCCCTGCCTCTGAGAAGTAGAGTGTTTGGGTGAGCCAGGCTGAGGGCTTGGTCCAGGTGAGTAGGAGCTGGGTGGCTCTCAAGCACAGAGGACATTTAAGTCACCACTGGAAGCAGCTTTCATGGCAAGGGACGGAATGAGTCTTCATGTTTGGGGTCTGCCTTTAATTGTCCAAGCAAGGGGCTGGAGAAATGGCTCAGTGGTTAAGAAGTGTTTGCCACTCTTTCAGAGGACCAATGTCAGGCAGCTCACAACTACCTGTAACTCCAGCTCCAGGGGACCTGATACCAGCATCTGGCCTCTGTGGATAATGCCCAATAATATACATTATAAATAAATCTAAGGGAAGGTGAAAATAAATAAAACAAACCTCTTTTTTCTTTCCTCTAGCAAGGAGGATACCCTATAGCATCCTTACTGCCCAGGCTGGGGGAACAAAGGCAACCATCCTCAAACCTGATCCTCAGCCCTTGCTTGTCTTCTGGAGCTCCCTGGGGGCAGCTCTGGCTCATGGGTCCCTTCCCACAGAGCTGCAGGATGGGTGGGAGCAGATCGATTTACAAACACCCAGGGACCCTCAATCCCGGTGTCGCTCACACTCAGCTCCAGATGGCATCACCTCTGCCCAGTCACTAGAGCCAAGCCTGTGTGAGCATCACACTGATGCGCCAGTCGATTCATGTCCTGTCAATTATGCACCACCTCCACCACCATCATCTCTCTCCCCTTCCCTCCCCACACCTTGCCCGTCTCACAGTTACCGCCTTTCTAGGCTATTGCAAAAGTTCCTATGCCCATCTTGCTTCTCTGCAATCCCATGCTCCCAAATGATCAGGCTGAAATTTCACAAATGAAAAATGAAAGACTTCTTTATTGGTTCATCTAGGGATAAACTTGTGACTGGTCTCTACAATTCTGACTCTGACCTCACTCCTCCCTGCTCATTCCACTCCAGCCATGCTGCATTTCCCATGGATCCTACTATAAGCCAAACTATTTTGTGCCTAGGAGCTTTTGACCCTGTGGTCTCCTATATCCAGAGCATCCTTCTCAAGTGTGTAACATGGCTGCTGCTTTATGCTGAGGGTGGCACCTCTGCAGGCTTGATCTCAGTATCGCCCAGACTCTCCACACCCCACCAATCTTCTCCCACACACACAAGAGCAGACATGGCCTCTCAGTCACGGTAGTTTCTTCCTTCTCCTCCTCCCTTACTTCTTCTTCGCCCTCTGTTGCTCAAAACGACTTCAGAGTTTGCTTTCAGGGTCTTGCCACCTCACCCTGGCTGGCCTTGTACTCACTATGTAAACCATGCTGGCCTCAAATTCCAGCAATCCACCTGCCTGGCCTCATGGGTATGGAGACTTCGGACATGGATCACCATACCCTGTTCTTTTTTTATCCTTTGCTTTTATGTTCATGGGTGTTTTGCCTGCACGTATGTCTATGCACCATATGCGTGTAGTGCCTGCAGAGTCCAGAAGAATGCGTTGGACTGCAGTTATAGACGGTTGTGAGCCATTACGTGGGTGTTGAAAACTGAACATGTATCCTTTGGAAGAGCAGCTGGTGCTCTTTGCCACGGAGCCATCTCTCCAGCCCCTACTTTATTTTCTTAAGCTATAAGATGTCTTAAAAAAAAAAAAGTCTTCAGAAAAATGCGTTCATCTCAGGTGTTCAAGTAGACCTCTATTTTCCCAAAATGAGCCATGCTATCAGCACCCCGAGTGGAAAGCAAAATCTCTCAGTGCACAGGGAGGGAAGGATTCAGTTTTTGTTTGACAGTAAGCAAAGCGTTCAGTAGGTGGTGGTGGTGATGCTGCACAGCATCGTGTGTTTAACACTGTGGAGCTCTACGGTTAAAACAGTTAAACTCAGGCCAGCCAGATGGCCCAGCAGAAAAGGCCCTTGCTGCACAGGCCTGACAGCCTGAGACTGATCCAAGGAACCCACAATGGAAGGAAAGAGTAGACTCCTGTTAAGTTGTCCTCTGATCTCTACAGTCATGCATGCATTTTGAACATGTGTGTACACATGCGTATTAATTATAAAAATTAAATTTAAAAAATGATTAAGTTAGATAGGCATGGTGATGCATTCTTCTAACGCTAGCGCCTAGGAGGCACAGGTAGGCAGATCCCTGAGAGTTCGAGACCAATTTAGTTGAATTAGTGAGTTGTAGGACAGCCAGGGCTACATAGGGAGACTCTATTTAAAAAATAAACATAAAAGGTGTTAGGGGCAGTAGTGCACGCCTTTAATCCTAGCACTTGGGAGGCTGAGGCAGACTGATCTCTGAATCTGAGGCCAGCCTGGTCTATAGATCAAGCTCCAAGACACTCAGAGTTACACAGAGAAACCTTGTCTTGAAAAAACCAAAGCACTATTCTGGTCGATTTTGCTAGGTTTGAATATTAACCTTTTCATTTTAATTTTATATGTATAGGTATATCCATACACACCTCCTGTGTGCCTGGTATCCATGAAGGCTAGAAGAATAAGTCTGATCTAGGACTGGAATTATAGACACTTGTGATCTGCCCTATAGGTGCTGGAAGATCCCTACACACACACTCAGTAACCATCTCTCAAATATTTTTATACATTCCAATGCTACCACTCGGGGAGTCAAGCTTTTAATCATGGTTCTTGGAGGACAGTTAAAGTCCCAAGTATACAGTAGTAGTGGTACCTCATTGTGGATTTAATTTTTATTTCCTGATGACTAAAGAAACTGACCACCATCTGGATACTTCTTTCTGGGAATTGACAAGTCTTTTACACATTTTCCTTCTGGCCATGCCTTTTTCCTTTGGATTTCGGGTTTTGCTGTACTCTGGATATAGGTTGTTTACTGGGTATATCACAACACATATTCAGAGTGCTCCAACAATGCCCACACGTGATGGGTCTCAACAAAAACAAGCTTAGTGAATGCTTGAATATGAAAACTCCTTGAAGGAAAAAAAATGCTTGGATGGATTAAACTGTCGCTTCTAAGGGTGTAACTGGATATAAGATCTGTGTCTCAAGCAATAAGAAACAGAACCTTAAAGGAGAAAGGCTAGAACACAAGAAAACATCCTCAGATTTCATCTCTTCCAGCCTGTTTCTAGATATGCAAGTTTTTAAACATTCAGACTCTCTCTCTCTCTCTCTCTCTCTCTCTCTCTCTTTCTCTCTCTCTCTCTCAGGTGTTGTGTTTCTCTCAGGCAGTGGTGGTGCATGCCTTTGATCTCAGCACCCAGGAGGCAGAGGAAAGTGGATCTCTGTGAGTTCAAGGCTAGCCTAGTCTACAGAGTGAGTTCCAGGACAGGCAAGAACAGCTAAGGCTACACAGAGAAGCCCTGCCTGGAACCTGCACCCCAAAAGGGAGATGTATGTCTGTATTTATCTATATTTATGTGTATGAGCGTTTGCCTGCATGTATGTATGGATACCATGTGTGTGCCTGGTGCCCAAGGAGGTCAGAAGAGGAGAATGGATACCCAGGAACCAGAGTTACAGATGTTTCTGGACTATCTCACTACAATCATCTGAGTCCTGGGAATGGATTCCCAGGTCGTCTGTAAGAGCCAACAACTGCTCTAAACTGTTGAGCCATCTCCTGCTCAAAATTAAGGTTCTTAAGGGTTTTGTGTGTGTGTGCACATGTGTGTCATGTGTATTCATGTGTGTGCTGAGGACAAAGGACAGCCCCCGGGGTGTTGTTTCTCAAGAGCTGTCCACCTTGCTTTTTGAACCATGGCTTTTCACTGGTTTGAAGCTCACCACGTAGGCTAGGTTGGCTGGCCAGTGAGCCACCATGACTCTATCTATCTCTGCTCGCTGCCCCCAGAGCTGGGATTACAAGATCGAGATACACACCCTGCTTTTACTTTATTTTATTTTAAAGCTGGCAAGCACTTTAGGGTTCTGAGTCACCCCCTCAGACCCCTTAAGGTAATGTTTAGCTTTGCTTAGTTTAGTTTACAGAGAGACTCCTACACTGTAGCTTAGTCTGGCCTGGAACAAGCTGTGTAAAACAGCTTGGCCTGGAACTCAAGACAATCCTCCTGCTTCAATCTCACAAGTCCTATTATCAGTGGAAGGAGTCACCATGCTTGGCTCTTTCTAACCTTGGGTATGTGTGTTGTGCATGTGTGAAGGTTCCTGTGATTTCAGGTACCCAGAGGCCAGAGGTGTCAGATTGCCCTGGGAGCTGGGGATACAGGCTGCTGCGAGCTGCTTGACATGGGTACAGAAACCCGAACTCAGATTCTAGTAAGAGCTCTTAACCCCCATTCTTCTCTCTAATAACCAAGCACCACCAACGCCCGGCTTCCCAATCCTGCTTCTTAAAGGTATTTGTAAATTAATACCATTTTAAAGAATGTTCCGTGGGTCAGCCCATTCTCCGCGGTGAAGACCTCTGTGGACAACAGACAGACCCTTGCTCTCAGAAAAGCAAGGGCAGACAACAAGTAAACAAAATAATTTCAGATGGACGGAAACCAAAGTCGGACGAGGAGGAAAAAGGAGGACAGAGAGAGGGTTGATCCAGCACAATTCCCAGACCAGGACACCAGGAAGGTCCTCACCCGAGGACCCGCCCCCCTATTTGCATACGTCTTATGATTTGTCTCCGGCGGCAGGCCCCTCCCCGCAGAGCTGGCGGCCTGGGACGCTGCAAGCGGCCCCGGCGGAGATGCAGCGGCTCCGGGTGTCGCGGCGCGGGCCGGGTGGTGTGCGGGCCCGAGGCGGGCAGGGGGTATCCGCCGCGGCACCCACACTTTCCTGACGCCGTAGCCCTGCAGGCGGCCCCGGCTCGTCCCAGCCATCTCCCCGCTTTGCAGTCCCCACCCCTCCGCCCTTTGTGCCGCCGCCACCCGACGTCCCCAGCTCGGCGGGACCCAGGGCGCGCGGGAGCGAGAGGCCCCGCTGTGCGCACGGCCGGTAGCGGATGGCGATCGCGCGCGGAGGGCGAAGGGGCGTTGCAGCCCGAGCCCGCGACGTGGGAAGCCCGGGCCGCCTCCGACGCATTGTCCCGGGCTGCGAGCCCAGGCCCTGAGCTGCCGCAGCGCCCGCCCACCGCCACCCGCGGGGCCATGCGGAGAGCGGCCGGGATGGAGGACTACTCCGCAGAGGAGGAGGAGTCCTGGTACGATCATCAGGACCTGGAGCAGGGTGAGCATGGCGGGAAGGGAAGTGGCGTGTGCCCGGAGACCCCTGGCCGATACTCCATTGTTGGGCGGTATCACCTAGAAAAGGGCTGGGCTGGACCTGGTGCGCATGATGAGTCTTGAGAACGGGGACGTGGACAGAGAGGGGCGCTGCCCTAGAAGATTCGGACGCGTTAGAGGGTGACCTGCACAAGTGTGTATTTGACAGGGCATCCATCACCCTTGTCATCTTAGCAGCTGCATCTATCTACTCGGGTATCCCTGATAGGGTATTGTTAGGGGGCCCGGGGACTAGGTGGAATGGAAGTCCGCAGGGGATTCCTGGTACTTTTGTCGGGGGTGTACTCCGGTGTTGAGTTGTCATCGCTCCACATCAACAGCACCTGTCCCGGCCAGGATTTGTGAGCCCTAAGAGTCTGTCAGAAAGTTTCCCCAGCTTGCTTCTCTCTGCTCAGAGGGGGTGGTGCAGAGAGCACGGGAAGAAACCTGGAGTCTGCAGCCTGCCTTCCTGAGAAAAGCATCCCCTTGTTCTTCCTTGCACCGGGCTTCCACCCAAGTGGCTCAGGATGTGCAGGCGTCCTTCAGTCGTTTCAGACGTACCCCATGCCCAGGGAAAGAGGGAGCCATTTCCATGGCTCTCATCTGAGCGCCCAGAGGATGACCGGAAGGGGGGTTAGAAGCTGGTGATGAGGTGGCTAAATTGACATCACTGAGAGCAGAGGTGGCGCCCTCTTGACCAGACCTGGAGGCCTGAGAGGGCCCGGGTCAAGGCCGAAGCCTGCTGGAGTGGAGTCGGCTCCACCCTCTTCTCTGCCAAGGTGCCTGCTCTTGCTGATACCTTGAGGGGGTGAGGAAACGTATCTCCTTCCCACTGTTGCCTGCAAGCCTGGCACAGAGTGTGCCACGGAGGTCTGGTCTCCATCCTCGGGACCCCAGAGTTCTGGTTTTCCAAGTGTGGGAAGCATCACCTGGTCCTGGAGCTTTTGTTTCCAGACCCACTACTCCAGGCTGCCAGGCTTCACCTGCCGATGAGGAGCTGTCCCAGTACTTGTCAGCGAACCAGAACCTTGGGATACCCGTGTAGGATGGAGGGCAGTGGGTTAGACATTGCTATGCGATGAACTGCCAGGTGCTCATACGGCAGGTACCTTCGTGTCTGTCCTGGCAACTACCCATAAAACTTTTCCTCTCTGTAAACATCGGTTGACCTCATTTGAGTCCCAGACATCATCCCGGGACCTTGGGACAGTCCCAGCTCCAAACCTCTGTGTACACAAGGGCTGGTGGGGGTATGTTTGCTCTGAGTGTAAGTGATTATGGGATGGCTTCCTGGGAGAGGCTAGCTCAGAAGGAAAGATGAAAAGCTGAGTTCTGTGGAAGATGGCCTCTAGGGGAGGCAGATGCTAATACTATATCGGTCTCATTTAGTTCCCGCACCCCTAATGAAGGCTTGGCACCATGCCCAGCCCAGATGTGGGAGGAAGAAGCCGGAGAATAGGGGTGGGAGATGTGTGGCTTCTGATGAGGGACAGGAATTGCTCTTCCAGTGGAATTAAAGAACCCTGCCCCCCCCCACTTCTTGGGTCCTGCTGGCCTGGCGTGCGGCTCCACTCAGACGGAGCCCAGGGGGACGCCCAGTAATGAAGCACTCTGTTACCTCCCTGCTAGGGGCTGTGCTGGGTCTCGGGACAGAATCTCTTCCTGAGCCTGCATTCCAGCAGAGGGGACAGATGTGGGATCAAAGTGGCAGCTGTGTGACATCGTGGCCCCCTCAGCAGAGGGAGCTTTGAGCTGGAGGAAGGAAGGGGAGGGCAGAATGGAGGAAGGAATGTTTGTACCAAGGCGTGGGACCAAATGGAGGGCAGAGGAAGCAGGGCACAAAGGAAGTACTAGCCACTCAGCTCTGCCTGCCAGCCCAGGAGCTGAGGATGGACGGGGTGTCTGCCAGACGACAGTCACATTCGAGGGCTCCGTCTCTGTATTTCATCCCCAACCCCTTTTCTCCCCATCTGCTCGGTGGCCAGCAGAGTGGTTTCCTCACCAGCACGTGGGAATGTCTTCCCGCCTGTTTCCTCCCTGCCCTGGACCAAGCAAGCCCCAACTTCACTTCCCAAAGAGATTGTCCCTAGAGATGATATTTGACTTTGGGGTGATCAGGAGCTGGTCAGGACAGGCGAGGCTTTGGATTTGCTCTGTTCCTTCTACGGGCTGCCACGAGCGCTTGTTAAAAATAGAAAAAAAAATCATGAATTAATTATTAAGCACTGCGTCTTGCTTTGCTTGCCCCCTCCCCCACCTGTGACCATCTCTGTCCAGACTAAGGGTGGCTGCTGAGTCACAGATTTTCTGACCTGACCTCCCCTTCCTGCCTAGCCTGACCTTGAGTCCTCCACCCCAGGGAATGCTCTGACAAGGTGGTAAAGAAAATGGTACCCTGTCTCTACCCTGGCTACCCCTAAAGGCCTTTCTGAACTCCTGCCTTGTGCCCTGTGGGGCAACACCCTGCTCTACCACCTACCGTCTACCTGGCGTTTTCCACCTCAGTCACCCTTTACCTTTGTCCTTTGACCTACTTCCTGCCTCTTGGCCTATTTTCTTGTCCCTTTCCTACCTCTCTGTCTAAAGCGTCTCGCTCCACCCTGATGCTCACCCAGAAGGGCCATGGGATTTCAGGGTCTCTTGGCTTCTCTGGGGCATTGCCTCACCGATAATCACTGAAGACTGCTGAAGGAAGCCCCAGAAGCCCCCTGAAGGAAACCCCTAGGTTCACGCAGGGAAGGAGGCAGCACAAACTCAGCAACTCCCCCCCCCCCCAATTTGGTTCAGAGTTGCTTGTTAATCCGGCCATAGCAGGCTGTTTGTTGCCTCGTGCAACATCCTGCTTAGCTAGCTTCCAAGTTTCCAGGCCCCCCTCCCCTGAGTCCAGAACTGCCACTGTCCTTCAGCAAGCTGCCTCCCTATTTCTCCACTCCTCCAGGTCCCTGGCTCTCCAGCTTCTGGGTGCCTTCCATCATCCCTCCAGGTGGCTCTGAGCAGCTGAGCTTGCAGTGTGATCCAGTTTCCCTGAGTCGCTCTGAGATCCTCCCCCTCCTCCCCAAGCAGCTTCCTTTTTGTCTTCCTTCCTTCATCATCCTTGGACCACTAGGTGGCTGAGTCACATGTGACTGTCTTCTCAGGCAGTCTCCAAGGCCTCTTGGTTCGTAGTGTGGTATGAAACCCATCCCCATCCCAGCCTACAAAGAGCAAGAAGTTACACACCCCAGCTCCCCTGGAAGGAAGAACATGGCATTGGAATTGCCTTTGGCCTTTCCTCATTCCACTGGCCTTGAATTCTGGTTAAGCTGCAGGATCTTGAGGCAGGCCACCCCTGTGTACGGGTTAGCAATGGTCATTTCCTAGACCACCTAACAGTTCCAAGGCCTGGAGCATTTAGGAAGGTGAGCTGAACATTGCCTTCCTGTTACAGACTAGGAAGGTGGTGAGGTTCTCTCATAGCCAGCCACCCCTGCCCACCCCCTATTAACCCCAAGCACATGACAAATCACAAGGCTGCCATTCAACTATGGGAGCACCAGGCTTCAAATTAATTTTGTAGACACCTCCAGACTTTGGCCCAGCATATAAGCTCATACAGCAAGTGTCCTCAAATACCTTACTAGGTTTATACTAGGTGACTGGATATGTTGGCATCTTCGCTGAGCAGGTTACTTGCCCCAGGCTATGGGGTTTGTAGCTAATTTACATAATTCAGTTTTGTTTCCTACAGGGAAACTGCTTTTGTTCCAGGCGGTGTCATGACAGCCTGGCTAGAGAGAAGCCGCTGTGGTCTGCTTCCCCAGCGACATCAGACATAAAGTCCTCCTCTCCAATTAATTTAATTCTAGAGGCCCCATTGTGGCTATTTTAAGACCTCATCCCTGCTCTGGGTATGTCTGTACCCTGCCACTTGGGAGGTAGAGCAATGGGATAGATAGTTCAAAGTCATCCTTTGCTACATCTCAAGGAAAGCCTGACTACATGAGACCCTACCTCAAAGCAACAACGAAAGTTGCCGGAGACAGAGGTCAGTCGGTAGAATGCTCGCCTAGCATGCAGGAAGCCCCGAGGTTGACTTCCCAGCACCACATAAAACAAGAGATTGTGGCACATCCCAACAATCCCAGCACTTAGGAGGTGGAGGCAGAGAACAGGACATCGAGGTCATCCTCAGCTACTTTGTAAGTTTGAGGCCAGCCTGAGCTACGATACTCTGTCTTAGAGAGAAAGAAGAAAGCCTTACCCTCATGTGGGAGCGACATTCCTAAGCCTGGGCCTTTTGGCAGGCGGCTCTGGCTTTCACAAGGAAACACAGCCCTGTCCTAGGCTTAGCTAAAAGAGCTGCTCTCTGCCCATCCAGGGTCCCTGCTCTGTAAGGGTGCAAGAGGAAGGCCCCACCTTCCTGTCTGCTGCACTGGAGGGAGTAGCCGAAACAACGGTGTATCTAACTTTTCAGGAGGACCAGAGAGCCCGTGTCTTTAAGGGAAGGCAGAGATATCATTATGTATAAAAATAGCACTGTGTCTTGTTGGCCCAGGGAGAACTGCTTTTACAAATCCTGCTCCAGATTTACACCATCAGCCTAGAATGAAGGCTGGTGTAACAAAGAGCCTCATCGTATTCAACAATAACAATAGTCAATAATGATAAATCTCTCCTGCTTTGGGACAAATGGGCCACATAGGCTTGCTGTTTACCCCATGTGTTCTCACAACAGCAGTGATTTGCACTAAGGTTTTAATACAATGAAGTTTGTTGGGGAAATATTATTTTCAGGTGTGTGACTTTCGCTTATGCTGCATTTGTTTAACTACGAAGCTGTGTTACTTTGCCTGTCTAAAACACCTGGCGGGCCTAATAAAGAGCTGAATGGCCAACAGCGAGGCAGGATCAAGGACAGGCGGAGCTGGCAGGCAGAGGGTATAAATAGGAGGAGAAAAAGGAGCATCAAGAGAACAAGGAGAGGAGGACATCAGGGGTCAGCCACCCGGCCACCCAGCCACGCGGCCACGCGGCCACCCAGCCACGTGGCCACCCAGCCACACAGCCACACAGCCACCTAGCCCACAGCCTAATGGCTACACGGCCACACAACCAGCCACAGAATAAGTGAAAGTAAGATATTCAAAGGAAAAGTCCCAGAGGCAAAAATTAGTCAGGATTAGTTAAGAAAAGCTGGCAAGAAATGAGCCAAGCTAAGGCTGGGCATTTATAACTAATAATAAGCCTCCCTGTATGATTTATTTGGGAGCTACGTGGTGGCCCTCCCCCCCCCCAAAAAAAACCCCAAAAGAATAAAACATCACATTACAGAAGTTGATCTCAGTTTGACTCGTTTTTCAGACCCAGAACCTCACACGTGCTAAGTGGTCACACTACTGCTTCTGTCACTGAATTACAACCCTAAACTTCCGTTTGTTGTCAGTGATCTTTAACAAAGACTATAACGTTTAGTGTATGATTGTTTTCCCCAGTTGTGTGTACCACGTGGGAGCCTAGGGCCCAAAGACGAGAGAAGAGGACATTGGATCCCCGGGACTAGTGTCGCCGCAAGTTACAAGCTGCCATGTGCATGCTGGGAACTGAACTCAGGTCCTCTCTAAAGGCAGCAAGTACTCTTAACCACTAAACCATTTCTCCAGCACTACGAAGTTAAGTTTTTAAGACAGTGCTTCACCCTATAGGTCTGACTGGTATGGAACTTTATGCAATCCTCCTGCCTCAGCCTCCCAAATGCTGGGATTACAGAGATGAGCTACCAGGCCCAAATCCTTACCCTCACTTTACATTTTGTTTCATTCATTCATTCATTCATTCATTCATTGGTTTTTCAAGACAGGGTTTCTCTGTCTAACTGCCCTGGCTGTCCTGAACTTGCTTTGTAGACCAGGCTGGCCTTGAACTCACAGAGATCCACCCGCCTCTGCCTCCTGAGTGCTGCTGGGGTCAAAGTTGTGCGCCACCACCACACAGCTACTTTTTAATTTTGCTACAGTGTCTGAGTTGCCTAAACTGGTCTTGAATTTGTGGTATTCATGCCTCAGCTTCCTGAGGAGTTGGGGTCTTGGGTCTATGGCATAGTTTTACGCTGCCTTTTTTTTTTTTTTTTTGTTTTTGTTTTATTTTGTTTTTTAAGCAGGGTCTCATGAAACTCAGGCTGGCCTTGAACAAACCTTATACATCAAAGGGTAACCTTGAACTCCTGGTCCTCCCCTCAGTACTGGATTACTGGTGTGCACATCCACACCTAATCTGTGTGGTCCTGGAGGCCACACATGCTAAGCTAAGCATGCATGCTAAGCAAGCACTCAGCCACCTGCGCTCCACCCCGGTCCCACTTTGTTTTTTGAGGCAGAGTCTCATGTAACTTAGAGTAGCCTCAAACTCCTGCACTTCCTGCCTCAGTTTCCTGAGTCCTGGCACGCACTCGCATGTCCTGTAGTGGGACTTTTTCATTGGGACCACCAGCCCTACACAGACTTCTTATTAATTATAAAAGTTCAGCCTCAGCTTAGGCTTGTTCCTAACTAGCTCTCATAACTTAAATTAACCGATATATATTTTTTTAATCTTCCATGAGGGTCCTTACCTCATCTCTGTACTGCCCATGCTGCCTCCAAGTCTCCTGACATTTCTGTGTGCCTAGATTATCTCCTCCTATTTCTTCTCTGCCCAGGAGTCCCACCTACACCTCCTGCCTAGCTATTGGCCGTTCAGCTCTTTATTAAACTAATCACAGCAATATATCTTTACTCGGTGTACAAATTTCCCACAACATTCTTGGCTCATAGTTTCACTTTTAATAGAGAAAGTACTCAAAGACGCCGTAAACATTCAACAATAAGGACTATTAGATGGTGTTTAGAGCTTATAGACAGTACATTTTCTGCCTCCACTAATAGTGTCAGAGGACAGCTTGTAGGCATTGGGTCTCTTCTGCAGTGAGGGTCCTGGGGATTGAACTTAGGTTTAGCAGCAATTACCTTTACCCACTGAGCTATCTTACTGGTCCAGTACTTTTTTTTTTTTTAGGTCTGTGTGTGTGTGTGTGTCTGTATACAGGTTCCCCATGGAAGCTAGAAGAGAATGTTCCAGCCCCTGAAACTAGTTACAGATGGTTGTGATTGCTTACTGGGAACCAAACTCTGGCTCAAGCCTAAAGCCCTTGGGTGCTGAGCCACCTCTCCAGAGCCTCGCTTTTCTTCTTGAGACCATGCCTCACTATGTAGCCCTGGACGGCTTCAGTCTCACAGAGACCCACCTGCTTCTACCTCCTGAGTGCTGGAATTAAAGGCATGCCCCGCCACACCCAGCTCAACTAATTTTTTTTTTTTTTTTTAATTATTGTTGGCTTTTCACCTTTCTGCACTATTTGTTTTCTGCGTCAGGCGGAAAGAAATCCCAAGCTGGTCGGTAGCACATGTCTTCAATCCCAGCAGTCAGGAAGCTGAGGCAGAAGGATCATGAGCCCTGGGCTAGCCTGGGCTCCACAGTAAGATCCTGTGCAAACAGCACCATCCAGAGACCCGAAGGACAAGAAGGGAGTAAGCCTGGAGCATGTAGGGAAAAGGGCATTTCAGATGTGAGTGACAAGGGCCCAGAGGCCCCGCCGGCCCCTGGCTTCCATCTCTAGCCAGGCTGGGGCTTCCGAGAATAGCCTATGTCACGGTGACACTGAGTCACCCGGAGCCCAGCCACGGATAAATGCTAGAGCATTAATGAGGGCTCCCTGAGTCCTGGCCCAGGGCTCTTTGTTTACACCCCCTCCCCTCCCCCAGACTTGCACCTGGCAGCCGAGCTCGGGAAGACCCTGCTGGAGAGGAACAAGGAGCTGGAGGAGTCCCTGCAGCAGATGTACTCCACCAACGAGGAGCAGGTGCAGGAGATCGAGGTGAGGGGCCTTGGACTCCGCATGGCTTCTCCACCCCTCCTTCCCCAATCCTAGCCAGCCTGCGGCACCGTGGTCTTCACCCCAAGCTCAGTTCAACATAGACCTCACAAAGCCGGTGGTTGGTCTAGGAGTGGTAGGGGGGGCCAGGTGGAGAGATTTGTCTGTCCTTCGTTGTAAAGGTCTGTCCCCCCCCCCTTTCCTCCTCCCCCAGTACCTGACCAAGCAGCTGGACACGCTGCGGCTGGTGAATGAACAGCATGCCAAAGTGTACGAGCAGCTGGACCTGACCGCCAGAGACCTGGAGCTGACCAATCAGAGGCTGGCGCTGGACAGTAAGGCGGCCCAGCAGAAGATCCACGGGTGAGGGACGAGCCCAGGGCTGAACACATGGCCGAGTGGACTGCTCGGGAGACTCACGCACTCCCTAGAAGACAGTGCACAGGAGCCTGGGCTGCCAGCAAGGCCATCCCTGTCTGCTGTGTGTGCTTAAACATTCATCCCACAAACAACTAGAGTTCCTTCCCTTTCTTCTTCCTTCCCTTTTTTTTTTTTTTTCCTCTTTCCAAGATGGTGGTTTCTCTGTGTAGCCCTGGTATCCAGGGATTCGCTCTGTAGACCAGGCTGCCCTTGAACTCACAGAGATCCACCTGCCTCTGCTTCCTGAGTGAAGCCACCACCATCCAGCCCTCCCTTTCTTTTTAAGATTTATGTTTTTATTCTGTGTGGATGGATGTTTTTGCCTGCGTGTATGTCTGTGCACCACGTGTGGGCCGTGTTCTCTGAGGCCAGGCTAGGGTATGGGACACTCTGGAGCTAGAGCTGTAGATGGTGGTGAGCCACCATACTTGTGGGTGGCAGAAACCAAAGCCAGGTCCTCTGCAAGAGCAACAAGTGCTTCTAGCCCTGAGCCACCTCCCCAGGCCCCCAAAACCGATGGATGAAAAGTCACCCATGCTCCAGTGAATAACCCACCTGTGGTTATGCACCAATTTTACAGCAGGCTCAGTAAGAGGCACTAAAGTTTTGGTAACTCTGCCCTGCCCTCTGGGTCCTCAAAGATGGGAAGAAAGGTGCACATGTAAATGATGTTATGCTGCAGTGCATGCTGGTACTGACGGGTGTGCAAGAGCCTGAGGTGGGGCTGGGGAAGTGGCCTGGCTGCTGGAGTGCTTGAACCTGTGTGAAATGTAGGGCACAACAACCAGCATGTGTGATCTCAAACTGGGGAGGTGGCGTGGGTGGGCCCCACCCGAGCTGAATCGGCATCCCCTGGGGCCTAGTGGAAGCCTGCCTGAGTAAACAAACAAGCTGGATAGCTTGTTGAAGTGTGATACCAGGCCATCCCCTGCCCCCCCCCACACACATGAACATGCACTTGTGAGCACAGATACAGAAGGACCAAAGGAGGCTGAGGAGTGATTGGCTGTGCCTGGGATGTATAGAAGGGCAAGTCCTTGGATATGGCAGAGAGTTCTAGGACTTTAACCCTAGACAGCATGCTCAAGACTGTCTGTTCTTACCTCCGTGTCCTCCATCTATAAGGGTCCCAGGTGGCAGTGAAGAGGCTGTCCCTGTCTCCTTAAGATTTCCCCTGGGGTGGGGCTTGAGAGATGGCTAAGGCTAAGAGGCTGAGAGTGATTGCTGCTCTAGAGCCAGGGTTTGGTTCCCAGCTCTCACAGTGAGTGGCTCACAATCACCCAGCCCCAGTTCCAGGGGATCCAGCTCCCTCTTTTGGCCTCCTCAGGCGCGCGCGCGGCGCGCGCGCGCGCGCGAACACACACACACACCAATCTTAACATTTTTGTTGTGAGCCTAGCTTTTAATGGCTGAGCCACCTCTCCGGTCCTAACAATCCTTAAAACAAACGACAAAAACCCCATGGGTGCCTTCATCCTATTCCAGGCTGACAGAGACCATTGAGCGCCTGCAGTGCCAGGTCGAGGAGCTGCAGGCCCAGGTGGAACAACTTCGAGGCCTGGAGCAGCTTCGGGTTCGCCGGGAAAAGCGGGAACGCAGGAGAACCATCCATACCTTCCCCTGCCTGAAGGAGCTGTGCACAAGCCCCCGGTAGGCAAGCCCCCGGTAGGCAAGGGCCTGGTGTGGCTTAGGACTCCAAGGGTTCTAGCTGAAGGAGGAAAAGGGAGCATAGTAGACAGTAGCCGGGAAGGAGGACTAATGTCTGGTCTGAGCCATCAGGGTGCTTGCTAAGGACAGCCGTGGGTGTTACTATGCTGATGTAACGGTCATCACATCCATTTTGCCTACAGGTCAGAAGAGAAAATCTAAACTTGGCGGTTACGTGGCTCATCCAAGGTCATGTGTTTTTAGTACTTGGCCCAGCCAGACTTCTAACCTAGGAGGAGGAGTTAAGCAGTGTCCCTTTTGGGTCCCACTAAATCTTATTTCAACAACGGACTTAATATAAGAATACAGGACTGGGGATGTAGCTCAGCTGTGCAGGCGCTTACCAAGGATGTGTGTCACCCTGGGTTTGATCCCCAGCCTAAAACAGAAGATTAACAAAGAGGAGCAAGGTGAGGCTAGAGAGGGGCACAGCTGGAAGACTGATCGCCTAACACTCAAGTCCTTGGGTCTGATCCCCAACACCTCCTAGGAGTGGTGAGGCACACTTGTAACCCCAGCATTCACAAGGTGGAGGCAGGAGACTCGAGACCTCACAGTCACCCTCAGCTAGAGAGTCCAAGCTCACACTGAGCTGTCTAAGATCCTGTTTAGCCAGGCGGTGGTGGCACACACCTTTAATCCCAGCACGTGGGAGGCAGACGCAGGCAGATCTCTGGGAGTTTGAGGCCAGCCTAGTCTACAGAGCTAGTTCCAGGACAGGCTCCAAAGCTACAGAGAAACCCTATCTCAAAAAACAAAAAAAGAAGTGTGGGTAGAAACGAGGTCCAGGGACCGTTACCATCCCTAGGCATCAGGGTCTCGAGGAAGAGAGATTCCCATCTCTGGAAGGTATGGAGCGGTCTCTCTGGCCAGTACCAACCGGGGAAAGGGCTTAGAAAAAGATAGAGCCTGAGAACCCCCTTTGTCCCCGCCTGCAACCATCCCTGTGCCTCCCATGGCTGAAGAATCCTGGATGAATCCGTATAGGTCAGACGCGGCCGAGAGAGAAAGTTAGACTCAGTGGGGGCAGAGTTAGACAGATGGACACTTTGGTCCGGGGTGGTGGCCGTGACCTAACTGTCACTGCCTGTCCCGCAGCAGGTGTGAAGATGCCTTCCGCCTGCACAGTTCCTCGCTGGAGCTTGGCCCTCGGCCCCTGGAGCAGGAGAATGAACGACTGCAGACCTTGGTGGGGGTGCTGCGTTCCCAGGTGAGCCAGGAGCGACAGCGCAAGGAGCGTGCGGAGCGCGAGTACACAGTGGTGCTCCAGGAGTACACGGAGCTGGAGCGACAGCTGTGTGAGATGGAGGGTTGTCGCCTGCGCGTGCAGGAGCTGGAGGCCGAGCTGCTGGAGCTGCAGCAGATGAAGCAGGCCAAGACCTACCTGCTGGCCCGGGATGAGCACCTGGCAGAGGCTTTGCTGGCACCCCTCACTCAGGCCCCTGAGGCTGATGACCCCCAGCCAGGCAGTGGGGATGACTCCAATGCCCAGGATGGTGTCTCCTCGCCTGCAGCCTCCCCCAGCCACGCAGTGCGCAAAAGCTGCAGTGACACAGCACTCAATGCCATCGTGGCCAAAGACCCAGCCAGCCGTCACGCTGGCAACCTCACTCTGCACGCCAACAGCGTGCGCAGGCGCGGTATGTCTATCCTGAGGGAGGTGGATGAGCAGTACCACGCACTGCTGGAGAAATATGAGGAGCTGCTGAGCAAATGCCGGCAGCATGGTGCCGGAGTGCGGCACGCGGGCGTGCAGACCTCGCGGCCCATCTCCAGGGACAGTTCATGGAGGGATCTACTGGGAGGCGAGGAGAGCCAGGGAGAGGGCAAGGCAGGTGAGAAGAGCCTAAGCCAGCACGTGGAGGCCGTGGATAAGCGGCTGGAGCAGAGCCAACCTGAGTACAAGGCACTCTTCAAAGAGATCTTCGCCAGGATCCAGAAGACCAAGGCAGACATCAACGCCACCAAAGTCAAGACGCATAGCAGCAAGTGACCCCTGTAGACCTGCAGCCTTCCCTTGCCTCCCCGCCAAGGGGGTCCCTCGTGCCTGGATGGCAGCCTCTTGGCAGATAAGAGAGCCCGCTACACACACGCAATATATCCTAGCAGGTGACTGGAGCATGAGCAGGGAGGCCTCTCTGATCTGGGGACACAGCATGTTTGCTTCTGATGGCTTGGATCGCCTGCCCTGCTTCCCTTGACCGCTTCGCTTCAGTTTGAAGGCACAGCTCAGTTTAAAAGCCAAACGCCCTCCCCCACTGTCCCTGGGGGCTTCTCAGCTCTCGACCTCTAGACCCCCCCCACCCCGTCCCTGGCCTCACCCTCAGTTTGTGACCAGTCTTATGCAAGCCTTTCTTGCTCAGCTGGCTTCCCCCACCCCACCCCCTGCCCACAGATTAGTTTTTCTGAGAGATTTGCAACGCAGGGTCTCCTCGAGCCTTGCTACAGCTGGAAACACTTGAAAGGGAATCTCCCAGCCAGCCGTTGCTGGTGTCTGGGGTCCCCTCGACCATTCACTGCTCTCCCTGCCAGCCATGACTGTCGTCATTGTCATTCCCATAGCTGTACCGTGTTCCACGCCCTCAGTTCAGAGCAGGGCGCAGGTAGCGCCCCCCCCCTCCCCGGAGCATGGCCCCCTCCAGGCCTGGCAAAGACCTTCAGCTCCCCGCAGACCTGCAGCCATACATGGGTAGTCCCCATGTCCATTCCTTCTCAGAGCCAACCTCCTCAAGTTCCATCCCTGGAGATGCCTTGTGGGCACGAAGCCTTCCAGGGGCTGGGGGCGGGGCCTACCACCTCTGCTCCTCCTGCCCCATCTCAGGGACCACGACGTCTCATCCACTCCTCACTGCCTCCGGCCAGCCCTGGTACAGTTCACATCTGCAGCCTCCAGAATGTCCTGTGCGAGTGTCACCGGTCCAGGTCCCAGTGTCCATCCCTGTCTTTCACCAGGGACTGTAAGATCTTTACTCCATGTTAAGTTTTCTTAAATTGAGGAAGAAATTCCTCCTTTCCCAAGTTCCTACAGAATGCCTGCTCTTTATCCCCACCCTTACGAGAGGGTCAGGGGTTCAATATTTTAGTACAAAACTTCAGCAAGTCCAGCTTTGTCTAAGAGATGCCCAGGTCCCCAGCTGGACTTCAGCAGTCCTTCCGGGCTTCTGGTTCCTTTCTGACACCCTTCCCCAAGAACCTAGAACTCAAAGGAGCCATACAATCCAGTGGGAGGCAGTGACCCTGGCCTCTGTGCTGGAGCCCAATGGGAACCGTCATGCCTTACCTCCTCCTTCTGGGTAAAGGGGCTTTCTTATGTCAAGCATGTTTGACATCCCTGGAGAAGCATCCTTGCTCCAGGTGACACTGTGATGCCAGCTGGCATCTGGAGCTTTCTGTTCATGCAGCTTGGAACCTTTCATCCTGTGGGGCGGGCACCTCCGGGCCCTCTGTGTGTCTCTGTCATCTAGGGTACAGGAGGCCTTCAGGCCTGTTCACTCCTCGGTTCTGTAACAGCATCACCTTTGAAGTATACATGAGAGAAATATATTTACAAATGCTTTATTCTCTTCTTTAATAAAAAATGCACCAGTATTCTAAAAGCAGAAACGGCCCTGACGCCTCGGTTTTGTCTCTGTGTCGTACTGGCTTGCTGCCTCGTGCCCCACTGCAGATGGGTGTATCAGATGGAGCTCCATCCCCACCCCAAGTTCTGCCTTTCTTTGAGGTCACTCTGACCCCTGAACCCTTGGCAAAGTCTGTGTCTGCAAAATGAGCTATGCCAATCATGCTCATAAAGAAAACACAAAGGGTCTGCATTGCCTTAGAGTTTATATTCTGGCTTGGGGTCAGGGAGCTGGAGCTCTACCCGACCACCACTGGGGAGGGTTTTTTTTTTTTATCTTTTTGAGACAGGATCTCATGGATGTCGGGCTAGATTCAGACTTGCTGTGTTGCTAAAGGTGACCTTGAACTTCTGGTCCTAGCTATTATTCAGGAGCTGGTGGTCCAAAGAATGTACGTCCCATTACACCTGGCTCCTTTTTTAATCTTAAGATGTGGAGATCACAGATACAATGTATGACAACATACGTTTTTAAAAAGTTGCGGAGGGGCCCTTGAGATGGCTCAGCGTGTGAAAATGATTCCCTTGGATTGTCCTCTGACTTCATGCACACAGGGGCCTGTTGTGGGATGGCTCAGTAGGTAGGGGCACTTGCCACAGTCATTAAAACACTGGTTTGATCCTCAGAATCCATGTAAAGTTGGAAGGAGAGAACTCACTCCATGAAGTTGTCCTCTGACCTCCACATGTGCGTGGATTACAGGTGTGTGCCCCCATACCAGACCTTCACTTCCAAGTCTTTGGGGACATCTCCACCCCACCCCTGATCCAGACGCTGTGCCAGCACCACCACACTGACAGCGAGTGCCCGGACTACTTTTGTTTTTCCCACTCCTCTGTTGTTAATGAGAAAAGGTTTCATTACATAACTAAGTCTGCACTGGAACCTGATGTTTAGTCCTGGCTGGCCTTCAACTTGGGATTCCTGAGCGTGCAGCGTGCTGAGATTATAGGTGTGCAGTACCAACCACACTTGGCTCGGCCTTCCTTTACCATTATCATTCATTACAACCTCAAATAAGCCTATTTAGGCATCTTTCACCTTCGATACAAACTTTTTATGGTGAAATATATATGTATACACACACACACACACACACACACACACACACACACACACACACACACACACAGCCAGCAGGGCTCAGTTTGGATGACCCCAGGTTTGCTGACAGCATCCAAAGCATCATGATCGGGAACCAGCTAAACACGTACCCTCTCTCCTTCCAGCCTGAGGGTGTTGACCTTGGTCACATGGGTCACACACAGCTTCTTCCGAGGCTGCTCAATCTGGACTTAACCCTGACCTTTGTAACAGCCACTAACAAGCTATTTCTTCTGGCTTCTCCATGGCTGACTCCAAGGCCAGGGAAGCTGATGGTGGCTGGTGATGAAGCTGGTCTCACCGGAGGACTCTTGCTGATGACTCGGCTCCTGGAGGATGGGTGGTGGGCAGGTCAGCATGTGGCTGTGGCGGCCATTCAGCATGAACTTCTCAGAGTTCCAAGCCTTCACCCTGGCTTTAGGTCAGGGGGCTGAAGCAGGGGGTAGGGGAGAGTGCTTTGCTTTGGAGCTATCAGGGAAGAGAAGGAAGGCCCGGTGTCTTTTTAACATGTAGGGTACTTTTTCTTTGCATGTGTCTGTGCACCAAGTGAATGCTTGGTGCCTGAGAAGCCAGAAGGATGCATTAAGATCCTTGGGGACTGGAGTTATAGACAGTTTTAAGCCCTCAGGTGGATGCTGGGAACTGAACCCAGGCCCTTCGAAAGAACAGCCAATGCTCTTAACTGTTAGACCCATCTTTCTGGCACCCTCCATACCCCCCATCTTTAATTATTATTTATTATTAGTATGGGGAGGGTCCCCCATACTATGGCTTGAATGTGGGGCCATAGGATAACCTTCAGAAGTTGATTCTATCTTTACACCACGTGGGTTCCAAGAATCAAACTCAGGTCATCAGGCTGGGCACTTAACGCCTTTTCTTACTTAGCCATCTTTCTGGCCCCAGTTTTCCTGGGTTGCTGCATCCAGAGGTTGAGTGAGTGACAGGCAGACAGAGACTGATACCTTGAGGGAACACAAAGGATGAGCAATCAGACCAGCTCCTGCCCACTGAGACCATAAGATGGCTATGGGAAAAACAAGAGGGCCATTTATCTCCTGGCTTTTAAACTTACATTCCATGCATATAACAGCCACAACTTCCAACCATTCCCAGGGACCTGGCTCCTCCTAACAGTGTGGAGAGGACAGTAGCCACTGTGAACTTGCTATCCAGGAGGCATGTCGTCACCAAGACTCCACCTACCCTCCTTGGAACTCTGCAAGGGTGGGGAGCACACAGCTGGACCCCAAATTAGTGACTGCATACACTAAAAGCCAGGGAGGCTTCACGTAAAGCATGCATGAGGTCAGAGGGCAGCTTGCATTGCTGGTAGGGTGCTCCTACTGCAGCCACCCAAGTGCTGGGGTACAGCATTACCATGCCACAGTGATTTCTCTGGTTCTCTGTCTCATTGAACCCAAACCTTTCTAGATCCAAGGCTGAACACAGTGAATCACTGCGGTAAGGAAATCAGGCAACGCCTGTCTCAGCCTCATCCTAAGCTCTCTCTCTCTCTCTCTCTCTCTCTCTCTCTCACACACACACACACACACACACACACACACACACACAGAGAGAGAGAGAGAGAGGGAAGGAGGCTGTTCCCAAGGGACCAAGCAGGAAATTGGAGGCACAGAGGGTGCGGTTTCCAGGGGGCAGCTTTGCTTTTTCATTCAAGCCAGGGAGCATGCTCTGTGCTGCTCATCCCTCTGGGAAGGAAAATTAGTCTAGAGATCTTGTCAGAATGGATTTCCTACCCTATGGCTGCACCCAACAACCTGTGCCTGACTCACTCAGGAGGATGGAAACCCGTGGGTCCCTTCATATGCCAGCTCACATAGACTGCATCTACAAATTCCCCAGCTTCCAGAACTGACCCTTTAACCCTTTCTTCCTTTTCCCTCATTTTGAGTGAATGCCCCCCACCCCCACCCCCAGCACCATCTCAGCCCATCCAGTCTCGGGAAGATCAATGAGGGGCCATCCAGTCTCAGGAAGATCAATGAGGGGCCATCCAGTCTGGGGAAGATCAATGAGGGGACATGGAATGCTCGCTTCAACCTCCAGTGCCAGCCTTTTTCTTGTTATCATTTAAAGGGAGGTTTTGTTATAGGACCAGGCTGGCAGGAAACTCACTAGGTAACAGAGACTGGCCCTGAACTCACAGTAATCCTCCTGCCTCAGTCTCCAAGTGTTGAAATTATAGGCATGCTCGCCCACACCCCACTTAGTGCTCACCTACTTAGGGGAGCAGGGGTCACCTCACAGGCCCAGTCCTCCTCCCAGGAGCCCCCTAACTGAAGGGTTCCTGGCAGCAGCAAATGAGAGAACCTGCCAGGTACTCTCCCCACTACAGGGCAACCTGCCTCATTCCCTGCTCTATTCCTGTCTCTCCCAGAATCCAGGCCACCAGATGGCCTGAGCAGGCTGTGTTTATTTAGAGTCATGGAAACGTGAAGCTTCCTCTCCCTACAACCCGTGGGCTAGGCACAGGCTAGAGCCCCCGCCTAGGAGCAAGGACACCATGACACAGCACTGATTTCATTATTCATAACCCATAACCTGAGTCAATGTCTGGGTTTGCTTCCCTGAGCAGCTTATTCTGGTCACTGTGGAAACATCTCTGCTCCCACTGAGGTTCTGGGACTGTCAGACAGGGAGGGACCCACAAGACTCCTATCAACCCAGGGTCCCAGGGAATTTGTCAGTTACCTATGCTTCCTAGTGCGAGTTCACAAAGTGCCTAGGGGCTTGTTTATCTCCCCAGGAATGCTGAGATCTAAAGGCTTGCTTCAATGACAATCTCCTATTTCAATCAGCCAGTGTCCTGGGGGAATATTTAAATGATCCCAGGGGCATATTTTTCTAGGTAATGACACTTTCTCCTAGAAAATTAAACTCTTCATTACGAGCTAACCACAAGAATTACTAACAATTAGTAACATTTATTGGCTTCTAGTTTCTTCTACAACAACCCCAACTAAGTAACTTGGCCAGGGATTAGTCACCTTCAAACATCAACGGTTTTACCTGTAGTCTTAGCGTGAGAACTTCAGCAATTCTGGGGTTCTTGCCTTAACACCAACATGAAATGGCTCTGCTTAACCCAAAGTCTTCTGAATGCTACACCTACTTCTCCAGCTTGTCTTGTCTACTGGCTAGAAAAAACCCACTCTGCTGCTCCCTAAAACTAGAGGGAAAGAACCTTCAATGATGTGCCTCCCCCCACTAGGCTGGGTATAAACCAAGCCATCCATCACAAGTCACACACTGGTGAGTGTGGCTTATAGGCTGTTTTATGGAGAAAAAAACAAAACAAACAAATAAAAAACAAAATAAACCATGAAGTTCTACAACTCAGCTTGACTGAAACTCAGCTTTCAAAAATGAGTTGCCGTGGAATTCACTTGATCCACATTTGTGGTGTGTCCATGGTGGGCCATGCTCTGCCTGTTTGGGATAGAGCAGAGAGCCTACATTCTATCGAGGAGACGTGCATTAGAATCTAATTACATTAGAAAACAAGACTGGACCTTGAGTGGTGGTGCACAACCTGTAATATGAGCATCTGGGAGGTAGAGGCAAGAGGGTCAGGAGTTCAAGGCCAGCCTAAGCTACATAGGAAACAAAACAGAAACAAAAGCCAGACCTGGTTGGGTAAACCCTTAATCCCAATGCTCTGGGGAGAGAGGCAAACATCCCAATCTATATAGTGAGCTCCAGGCCATCCAGGGTCACATAACTGAGACCCTGTCTCAGTACATTCATACATACATACATACATACCATAAATCAACCAACCATTAAACTACACACACAGATTAATTATCTATCTATATGTCTGTGTCTATCTACCCTTCTGTCTGAAGCAGGCTAGGGATGTGGCTCACACACTGAGAAAGAGATAGGAGAGAGCAGGGATAATCCAAACTGAACAGATAAGACCATTTATTCATTTGTTTGTTCGTTTATTTATTTATTTATTTATTGGCTTTTCAAGATAGGATTTCTCCGTGTAGCCCTGGCTGTCCTCCAATCTGCTGGCCTCGAATTCAGAGATCTGCCTGCCTCTGCCTCCTAAATGCTGGATTAAAGATATGCACCGCCACAGCTTGGCAACAGGTAAGATCTCGTTGATGTGTTTGGTTAAGTTGTTGGGTCCAGGTAAAGAGAACAGATTCAAAAAGAGAAAGAGGAAGGGGTATTTCTGGGGACATGGGATCCAGAAATTTTACTACTAGTAGTTGTTATTGTTATTTTTGGTTCTCCCCCCCCCCCGGTAGCCTCGGCTGTCTTGGAACTCATTCTGTAGACCAGGCTAGCCTCGAACTCAGAGATCTGCCTGCCTCTGCCTCTGCCTCTGGAGTGCTGGGATTAAGGCGTGCACCATCTCCTACCCACTTACTATTTTTATGACAGAGATTCAATATGTAACTACATTAGGCTAGAATCTGCAGTGCAAATGAGCACCACCAAGCCAGGCAGATACAGGAGCCTTTTTCAGAAGAATCTCCCGTAGGTGGCCGCTGTCCGCCTGTCAACCTCTGCCAGGTGTCAGCTGGGTCCCTACCACTACCACACTAGGTGGCCAGCCCAGAGCGCGAAAAAATCAGGCGGAACTCAAGAGGCGAGCGCAACGCCAGCTTGCGGACCACGGGAGAGTGAGCACCGACCGGAAGCGGCCCTGAGAGACGAACATGGCGGCCGCCTGGGGCTTGCGCTGGGGCCTGCGCCGAGCTGGAACCTTGCTGCTCCGGCCGCCCGCGCGCAGTGCTCGCCGGGCTCTGCACAGACAGGGAGAGGGCACCGGATTCCAGAGCATCTACAGCCTGGACAAGCTCTATCCCGAATCCAAGGGCGCGGACACGGCCTGGAAGGTCCCGGTGAGCCTGGAAAGGCGGGGCGGAAAGGGCGGTTCTCCTCGCTGCTGGGCGACGCCAGGAAGCCGGGCGGGCGGCGTGGATCGTTTTGGTTGCTGCGGGCGGGCTGGTCGTCCTAGCAACCCGGGTTGGCCCCGGGTGGGGGTGGGCTCTGGTGCTTCCAGGAGTGCAGGCCCCGGGAGACAGAGCCTGCACTCTCCTCCTGCTTCGCCTCCTTCAAGATCACCAGCTCCTCCGCGTTTGTTTTCTGGGCCCCTGGCCCACGTCCTATGAGATGTGTGAGTTACGGATCTTCAAAGTGGACAGTGAAAGCTGAGGTCCGCGGGTTGTAAGGTCCCCCGGCCTTTAGCCCCCAGCATCGTCAGGAAGCCAGAGGCAAGAGTTGTTTCTTCAGGACCCATGTTTACCTGCTCTGTGTAGACACGCTGCACTGGCCAGAGCAGGAGAGAGGGAGCCTGTTGACTGAAAGAGCATCCGGCATTTCCATTCAGTAACTCACACTTCATTCTGCAGACTTCTCTTGAGAGCACGCTGTGAACACACACGGTGATGATTTGGGGGCGGAGAGCGAACTCAGGTTGTCAGGTGTGACATACAGTGCTTTTACCCACTGAGTCATTTCTCCAGCATAAAACACATAACATTTGGCTCGTAGCTTTACACTAATTTTTTTTTTTTTTTTTTTTTCCTCCCCGGTCTTGGACCAGTTAGGAGTAGCCTGGCAGGTGACTTCTTTCTCCTGACACTATGTATGTTATATTACAGGAACATGCGAAACAAGGCAGCAGTGACATCCCTCTAGGTAAGTAATGGTTTTGAAAATCAGTCACTTTAGGCTAGGGGACCTGGAATCAGTCCCAAGCACCACACACACAGCCATTTACTGAATCTTCCTTGTAGATCTCACCACACCTGTGAAAGCCAGTAGCGAGAACAACCATGGGTGTGGAAAGAAATCTTTGTAGCATAGCTTAGAACAGCGAATGAGCGATAGCTTAGCCATGCGTGTAGACCGCATGGTCTCCCCCCATACGAACAGCTCTTGGTGTGCTTGTGATTTGGAACAGTCTTTATGGCGCAGGGGTTGAGTGTTGTGGAAGGAAGGAAGGTGTGTGGGAGAGTGGGAGCCAAGGGATGTACCTCATCACAGACTCTGGAAAAACAGGCATTCTGCTCAGTGGACAGCTGTCGCCTCTCCCGGCCTCCGGAACTCTCTGGAGGTTGAGGTTTACAGGGCATTCTGTTTCAGCAGACTCAGCTGCAGCCAGCATGACCCACCTGTCTTACATGCAGGGTTGCTGGGCTCCATAGCACATCCATTCCCCTGCAGTACCAGGTACTTTTGTTATTGAGTCAGAACAAGATTTAACTGGCTTTTCCAAAAGTGGGAGTCTTGGGAGATGGTCCCAAGATGGGCACCACAGTACCTCAGCACCTACACTGCTGTGGTTTACCAGCTGGCCTTGCAGTTTGCTGCTGCTGTGTCTCCCCTACCCAGACACTACAAGATGGTTGCATGAGTTATAGAAATAGGAGGAAGGAACCCCATCCTCCAGCTTAAAAATAAACAAGTAGCCGGGCGGTGGTGGCACACTCCTTTAACCCTAGCATCTTGCTTCTTGGGCAGTCCCTGGGATCTGTCAGCACCTCCTTTTCCATTCCAGCCTTTAGTTTGCTTGTCTGCCTAGCTTTATTCTGCCTTGCCATAGGCCAAGCAGCGGTATTACTAACCAGTGAGAATAATACGTATTCACAGCATACAGAAGGATTATCCCACAACACAAGAGAAGCTGTAGGACTTTGGCAACATGTAGTTAGTGGCCACACTGCCTTTCAGGATGAGAGCTCCCGAACTGAAAATCAAGTTCCCATCCACCCAACACATAGTTTCAACCCAGAAACAATACTTTCTTGTCCCTGTCCGACTGTGTAGCCTCAAACTCAGTATTCTCCCCCCTCAGACTCCCAAGTGCCAGCATCACAAGGAATGTGCTGTCCCGCCCACCTAGTCCTTTTGTCCACTCGAGCCAGCTTCTAGCCCATCCTGACTCCATATCCACCACTCTTTGAACTATGTGAAACTAAGTCTGTCTCTTAACATGAGCCTCTGGAAGAATTTTCTCTTTAAAGCAAACAAAATCAGCAGAAGGGTTTGGTAGAATGTGCTAGACTTGGGTCACTGTTTTATTTCCTCCACTCCCTGGGAGGTCTTGAGAAAGTCAGTTGTCCCAATTTTAGTTTGGATATCTTTGCTGGTGTGTGTGTGTGTGTGTGTGTGTGTGTGTGTGTGTGTGTGTGTGTGTATGCGCACGCACATGTTATAGTCATATTGACTAAATTAGGTGAGTAGTCACATTCACTAAATTAGCAGTCTACACGTTTCCTGGGGAATTCTTGTGTAAGTATTCTTCTGTTTTGCAGATCGATTGAGCATTTCTTACTGTCGGAGTAGCGGTCCTGGGGGGCAGAACGTTAACAAAGGTACAGGCACCGCACAGTGCTCCCGTCTGCTTTAAGTGTCAGCTGGGAGGGGGCTGTGAGAAACCCTGCATTCACATTCCTATGGAATAAAGGGATTTTTCTGCAGCGCTCACACACCTCCAGCTTATAACAATCCTTTTGAATCTTCTGAATGTGGCCCGATTGTCTGGCTCTCAGCTGCAGGTTGCTAAGGCTGGGATTGGCTTTGAGGGTAAACAAAGAGAGCTCACAGCATGGGCTGGCAGCCTGCTTGGATCCACAGAGAACAGGTTTCCTTTGCTCTCACGAAACCCATCCCCCTGCTCTTTTCAGGAGCCAGTAAAACTCTTGCGGACATTTGGATCCCACAAGTCTAGTTTTGTCCCAATACTTGCCTGGTGGGCTTGTTCCATGGCTAGCTCCAACATAGGCTGGAATGTTCCTGGCTAGGTAGTTGGCTCCCCTGACTTCAGGACTTTCCCTGACTTCCTGAGCACCATGACCCCAGAGTCTCAGGATCCCACTCCTTTCTCCCTGTCCACAGTGAATTCCAAGGCTGAAGTCAGGTTTCACTTGGCCAGTGCAGACTGGATTGCTGAACCCGTGCGCCAGAAGATTGCTCTCAAGGTATCCACCCCTTTCTGTCCCTGTGGGTCCCTGGGGTGGGGGTAGGCTTGTGGGCCTTAATTTTCCTCCTTGGCAGCACAAAAACAAGATCAACAAGGCAGGAGAGTTGGTACTCACCTCTGAGAGCAGTCGCTATCAGTTCCGGAATCTGGCAGAATGCCTACAGAAAATTCGAGACATGATTGCGGAGGCCAGCCAGGTGCCCAAGGAGCCATCCAAAGAAGACGTCCAGCTCCAGAGGCTCAGGTACAGCTGGGCAGATGAGATAGAGTCCAGGGGCTTCCAGCAGGGTGTTGCCGACCCAGGCCTAGCGCACATCTGGCTTCAGCTGCCCAGGCTGCTCTGCTCCCCCTCAGCTCCAGCTTTGAAAAGCACTGATTGCACATCTGGGCCTCATAGCCATCTTTTGTTTTCAGGATAGAAAACATGAATCGGGAGAGGCTGCGCCAGAAAAGAATAAACTCTTCCATAAAGATGAGCAGGAGGGTTACTATGGACTGAAGTCACCCCCACTGCTGGCAAAGACCGGGGTGCCATGCGACTCTGCAGAGAGCTGCCACACCAGCCGAAGAGACTCTTCTCCATAACTGGAGCCTTGCCAGAATGTTCCTCAGGAGGGAAGGCCACAGGTCATCGGGGCAGCCTCCTCGGTTGTCCACCCCATGTATTACTGGATGCAATAAACTTCTGCGTACAGGAGCTTCACCTCTCAGAGCTTTGCAACAGAGCTCCTGCCTTTCAGCCTAAACCCCTCCCAGATGCTGCGCAGCGCTGTGCCAGCACATTGGGCAGCAGAGCATTGTAGGTAGGTCCTCAAGGAGCATACAGCAGGAGGGCCAGCATTTGAGCTGGCCCTTCAAAAACACAAAGAAACCGAACACAGTGGGCAGGAAGGAAGCCAGGGATGCCCGATGGCAGGTTGTGCAGGAGACTTGGGAGGTACACCTGGGAGGAAGGCAGGTAAGAGCATCAAAACCCATTGGTTGATTGGGAGTTTGGGGCAGTTGTGTGTCACACGCACCTGAGGGTTAGAGAGCAACTTGCAGAGCCACCTCTTCCACCACGGAGGTGGAACTCATCCTAGGCTTAAAGGCAAATACCTGCCAAGCCGTGTAGGCGGACCTGATTTTATTATTGTGAGGAGAGGCACGCATGGACCACAGTACGTGTTTGGAGGTCAGAGGACAACGTGTGGGAGCCAGTGCTCTTCTTCCACCACGTGGGCCCCAGGGACCAATCAGGCTTGGCTACATCAGCCACAAGCCGTTACCTGCTGAACCATATCACCAGCCCCTGCAAGTTGTTTCATGTGCGTGCACACACACACACACACACACACACACACACACACACACACACACGAGCAAAAAATAAAGGCCAGAGAGGTGGCTCAGCAGATAAAGGAGCTTGCTGCCAAGAGTTTGATCCCTGGCTCCCACGTGGTGTAAGGAGACTCATGAGATAATGGCTTCTGACCTCCACAAGCTCCATGAATCATTCGTGTGCACACACAAATATAACTTAATTTTTTTTTAATCAGATAAGCTCTGGCCTGGTCAAATTTCCCAGTGACAAACCAGAATGTGAATTCTATATCAGCTTGGAAATTGAGCCTCATTACTGTCAGGCTAGCGTTACTTGTCTGCAGGAGGTGAAACATTGCGCTGGCCTGCAAGAAAATTCTCTAAGTTTGGTTTAT